TCCTCTATTTTTGAAATTCTAATAATAAAGGGGTTTTATGCAAATCCCGTTCTGTTTCTAACATTTCTGTTCTAACAGTTTGGATTTATACAGTTTTGGCCCCTCACCGGTCAGTCCTAGGGACGAAACAGTTGTAATTCACTTTTGAATACTGTATCAAATACTGTATTCGTAGGTGCAGTCATATGTATGTGTCATACGTTCATCTTTCAAAAACAATCCACGACAAATCCAATTTACAGTTATATATATTTGTACTCGTGTGTCGGTATTCTAAGCAAAAAAGTGCTCTCGTGATTACATATTGGAGGCGGGAAGTCAGTGCCTAAATCAACAAGATTTTGCAGTAAACGGAGGTGACCGTCAAATAACGAGATGGCCTGTTAGATATACGATGTAGTTGTCGAGAATAACGAGGTTTCCTTAGTTTACGACACAGACATATGAGGCTATATCCTTTGGACTTATTATATATTCATTAACCCCCAAACTTCCTTCTTGAAAAATTTTGAAACAAAATGGACAAAAAGTAAAATACAGTGTTATATAAAGAGTTTAACAAGAACTAACAAGCATAGGAAATGTCTTAACGAATTATATGTTCCACTGTATATGAGCGTCAAACTATACATCTCATCTAGACATTATCACATATCACTAAACATTTTCTTCAGGTTGGTAGGTATTGATTATGATAAGTTCTTTTTACACAACCAATAGCATGTTCTATGTGACGTTTCGATGACTAGTACGATATGTACACTGTCACCTTCATCAGACAATTGACCAATGAAGCGTATGCACAAAAAGGTGTAAAATGTGTACGAGTTGTGATGTCGATTTCGGCTACGCTGGAAACGTATGTACAATAGTTGTTATATATGTACCGAAATGACTCCATGTGCATACGCTTCATGGGTCATTTGTCAGATGAAGGTGACAGTAAACATATCGTACTAGTCATCGAAACGTCACATAGAAATGAAGTTTTAATCATTATACACAGAGGGCTTGTATTGGTTACGTTTGTTGTCTAATTTCATTTGTGTTTTACAAATTATATATGTATAAATCAATACATCAATCGGTATAAGAGAATATTCTGAAACGAACAACGAACCCAATCAGACAGATGGCGAGGAGCCAATGGACGAAGCCATACTTCATAATGACACGAACAGCAGATATTGCTGTCCATCAAATATTCCTACATGGATGGTATTTGAAAAGTAGAGGCTAGACTTTATGGTCTGATAGAATATCTTGACAGGAAATAATTACACAATAGAATCACAGATTTGTATGAAATACATGTTCCAGTCTAACAAGAATGAATATTTATCTCATTCCAGACGGCTATCCCCCCTAAATGAAAATAACAGGAAAGCGTTGTATCGCCCATCGTTTATATTATTTTACATCACATACAACAGCTAGAAAATAGAGCCTTTCAGCACTTGTAGTCACGAAATGTTACAAACTAATTGCGAATTCAATACAAACAAACATCAGCGATAACCATCAAATCACTTCGTAAAACACGCGCATTTGTGTATAATGTCATCTTTACGACAGTACAACAACTGGTATCAATGAACCTTAAACAGACATTAGCAGTTGAACATTATTATTCCACTGCAGACTAAATGATAACGTTTCATTGAAGTTTTCATATAAAGAGTAACCTCCCCTTAATTTTGCTTTAGATGTATATATTTGGCTGGACTGAACAAGAAGTTCAGTTTGTTAGAGCAACAGTAAGGAAACATGATGAGAGGTATCAGGCAATCTGAATAAATACAGCTGTTCATTATCACGTACCGCATGAATAGTTGGTATTAGCATCTGATTTTAATGAGATTGGGTATCAGGGCTCGAATGCCGATCTGGATCTATTGCATTTGTTGTCTAAGAGACTTTATATACACTGTTGACTTCATGCCTACTTCACTTGTATCGATTGCTGTCCTGCAACTTCATTATCGTTACGCAAACTATTTGTTTGTTTTCAAACATAGGTTTATTAAAACTAATAAGACAGAAATATTGATTTCATAATTGCATTGTAAGCAATGGAAGCTGTATCTTCGAGTACAGTGCATTTATATACCACAGCCGTAACAGTGCGAACCGAGATATTGCAAATGTACTTCTTGGTATACATATTTTTTTTTTAACTCAGTGTCATGCGTGATACAGATAGATATATCCTGTCAGAAACGTTGGTTTACATTGTTACAGAATTATAGATTATCACACTGTGTTACTAGGGTTAGTCATGAGAACAATTTTCACATCGCGAGCTATGTGGATCGCAACGTGGATAAAATCGAGAGGCCACCACAGGTCGACTCGAGATTTTATCTAAGTGCGAGCGACGAGAAAATCGTTCAAACGAAAAACACTGAAAATACTGCGTGGTAAATTGTTTATCATCTATATACTACTACCTTATATATTTCTTCATTTGAAAAAGTCGACAAAACACCTGATTGTCCAAAATGACTTTATCCTCGATCTGTTACAATCGTAAAAAGATATGATATTTGCGCGGAGGAAAATCATTAATCTTTAAACTATGCAGACATTTAAAAAAAAATTATCGTCATTGGCTTTTCCGAATACACATTTACGCATAAAATGGTGTTGTTATCATCACATTATGTTTTCGTACATGTATTTATTTGTTTATGACTTATCACATTTGTGTGGATAATATTCCCGTTTTAGGACGTCACCCATCCTCGATATCCAATGGTTACGTTCACTTTTGCTCTCTACACCCCTGGAATATGTCATAGCAAAACTGAAGGCACGAAGATAGCAGTTTGATTGGTCTCAGGTTAAAAAAATACCAATCGCTAGGCCGATACATGCCCTTTGAAGATTACAAAGGAGAGACGCCCGACTTCAAAGCCTGTCAATTTTTTACCTTTACATGACCGCGAGATTCCTTTGATGTATACCAAAGGATGGTACTAGTCTCATTGTTTCGCCAACAAGGTGGTGTATACTGAACCTTCAATTCGGCCATGTTCCAGGGGTGTAGAGACCGAAAGTGATCGTAACCCCTGGATATCGAGGATGGACGTCACCTGAAGCGAGTAGAGGTTCCAAAACCCTGGGAAATGGAAAAATCTGTCCCAAGTTGTTCTCAGGTCGTTTTTAACCTCCTCTTTAGCATTCTCATACTGATGACTCATGCTAATGAATGTATCATGCAACCGGTAGGTGGTATACAGTAGTATATAGATGATAACCTTCTGTACATTACTACTCTTAAATTATGTGATAGGTTAGATAATATCGAAAATAATAATGTCTACCCCGCCGTGAAAATGTTGGTATCTGTATCATGCATAAAAACGAATCCCTAGTTTTAGTTTATAGTTTCTTAACAATTTCTGTCTTATTAACGTTTCTATTTTTTTCTTTTTTTCATTGTTTTTCTAATGATTATCTTATCAGATTTTACAGAACTTGGCAAAGGAAGATAGACATTCGAATGATTAATAGCTTATTCTCCAAACAACCAAAGCAACTGGTTTTACTAATGTGTTTGTTGTGTAGCGTTGTTTACGGAGGTAGGTGTAAGCACTAATAAGACGGCCTTCTGTTATTAAATGACAACATAGATCCAAAGCAACGTAGGGCGATTCACGTTTTTAGTCTATATGTTGTTTGCGAAGTTTCACAATTGATCAGCATTGTGCCGTCCATTTACCGTTGTAAATTGATACCAGAAAATATGCAAGTGACGTAATCAAACATCCTAGAACGTACTGCTCGTTAGATATCGTAAGTGCGAAATGTCCTACAGTGCATGTTGTCCAAGTAACAGCGGTTTACCAAATTTTAGGCGAGTTGTGAGACTCAACTTTGTTAATTAATGAAAAAATATAGTTTCCCGATAAGTATACGTCATGTAGCAGTTTACTCGTCCGTCAAGTACTTAGCAACGGAAACTACCAAAAATCGGGACAGTTTTTATATGAATAGCAATGCATCTTATATAAAAGTATCAGTTTCAAAAGTGTCATGTAGATGCTATCCACTTTTCTTTTCTTTCACCATGCAGTTGGTTTTTCCAGCACGTGGCTCTATAAAAAGATACTAGCAAGGTCGCCAATGCCATTGGACAGGTATAACTGTACCATGAAAGGGTCACTTTGCTATTTTGGCTAAAATTGGGGGATATACGATCAATATCAACAGAAAAAGTATGCATAGCTCAAGTATTTTAGAGTCAGCTTATATTGTTCTCGCTATTTTCCTCTCCAAACTAGCAATAAACTACTGAAAATGATATGAAAATAAATAGCGTCGCACGGCATGTAAATTAAGTAAGTTTTATTTTGATCTTCCGCTTAAACTGTGTGTGTGTGACCATAACCAGCAGCCAGTAAAGCTTAAATACAGTTAATTTGTCTTGTCATTATCATCAAGTGAAAATTGTATGCATCAAAAGACACATCTGCTCTGTTTGACGTGGGCCGTTTTCAAATAAATGTCCCGTTTTAGGAACCGTCCCGTTTTGGGTAACAATCTCGTTTTGAGCATAGCAACGTGGCAGACACATCCAATAGTGACGAGTGACAGATAAAGACACGAAAATAGATATGTTCTTATAAGTTACTAATCAGAATCCACTTAACATGGAAGCTGAATTTGATTGACCGATGGAAATATTTTTATTCTATTAATATTCCGAATCATTATTTCCATTTATTACGCACTTCCAGAACATTGCACATGCAATTTGTCAACAATTTGTAATAAACATTCATTGTGTTTTAATATCCCTTCCTCAATTTGTACAACTATTTTTGCTTGTATTGAGTTATACACTTTGCAATTATTGAATTATTACATCTTCACTGTTTCTGTCATATTCCTCATAACTGCATGTAAGACAGTGTTTTAGAGAATTCGTAGTATTGATAATGTTTTAAATATAATACTGTACCAATTAATTTCATTTCTTACCATTTTTGTTTCAGAATGGGAGCGTCAAAGACACACCTCGCTGGGGATACCATGTTAAATGACACATATAATGCTACAAACACGATAGTTCCGATGGGAAATATCACCACTCCCAAACGGAAAGAGGAACTCGTCCGAGTAGAAGTCGCCGTCCAGGCCGCAATTTTTGCCTTGGCAATACTCGGAAATTGTTGTGTTCTTATAGCTATTGGTCGGCGACGTAAAAAGTCAACCCGGATGCATATCTTTATAATGCATTTAAGTATAGCGGACTTACTAGTTGCTTTCTTTAACATTCTTCCGCAACTGATTTGGGACATCACACATAGATGGTATGGTGGTGACTTTCTCTGTCGATTTATCAAGTATTCTCAGATATTTGTGATGTATCTGTCGACGTACATTTTGGTGATGACAGCTATCGACAGGTACCGCGCGATCTGCCATCCCCTTAGCAACCATACATGGACGCCGAGACTTGTACACGTCATGATAGGGGGCGCTTATGCCATCGCCGCCATTATGAGTTTACCGCAAATGATAATGTTTAAATACCAGGAAACGAAGACCGGATCAGGTGTGATGGACTGTTGGGTACATTTTGATCCTCCATGGACTCTTCAACTGTACATAACGTCATTTACGGTTTTCGTTTACGTCATTCCATTTGTCATACTTGTAGTATGTTACGGTTCCATATGTTATACTGTCTGGCGTAAATACCGACTTTCAAAGGATTCCGGGAAATATATAACACGTGACAACACTCATGAACAAATGCAGTCAGTTGCATCACAGAATGGTAAAATATCGAATCACGTGACTCTTGTACCAAGAAACCATTCCTTTAGAGGATTTTCAAGGGCAAAGCTGAAAACTGTCAAACTCACATTCGTCATAATTCTTGCCTATATTATGTGTTGGTCCCCATTTTTTGTCTCACAACTTTGGTGGTTATACGACGAGTCAGCACCATTAACAAGTAAGTTATTTAAATATATATGTATATAAATGAATGTGAAATAAAATAGGAAATGGTCAAGAGCATAACAAAACCAAAATCGGCTCACAATTAATATAATGATACAAAAACAGGAACAAAAGCAAAAACATTGTTAATCTCTACAGGCCAAATGAGAACTTACATCTGTACAACTTTAGAGATTCAATAATTTCTCTTACCCTGAATAGGCGTATCCACAGTTTTCCCTCTGTGCAATATCCTTGCTTTCCCGAGGAAGAGACAGGGGGATTCCCCTTTTTATAAAAACTGCATGACGTCACGCAGAAAAGGGCCTGTAATGCCAACGTGTAAACGACAGGCTCAACAGGGTAAGAGAAAAAATACCCCTTTAAGTGAGATGGGGAATCTCATCCTGAAGGAAAAAATCTTAAGATGCCAAACACTCGTAAAGCCTCCTGTTTTTCAATTTAAAAATCTGCCCCTTCCGATTGAGATACCACTATCTCACCACAAAGGCGATGGACTTTTTTCGTCCCTATATTTTAACCGTTTGTATCGCTGAAATGGTAATATGAACTTAATTATGCATCCCAGGTGAAACAAACGTAAAATGTAGTGGGTTTCTCCTTATCAAACCTTACGTTAAAACAGGCAATTCTTTATACCTGTAAATCACACAAAAACATTGCAATCATGTGCATGTATTGAAAGTGAGTCTCATTTAAATGTATCAGTTATGGAAAACTATTAACATTTTTAGGTCACCTGAGCTTTAGCTCAAGTGACCTATTGCTATCCGTTTTCGTCCGTCGTCGTCCGTCGTCCGTCGTCCGTCATCGTCCGTTAACATTTTACATTTCAAACTTAAAGTCAAGTTCTGCTGCGCCGATTGAACTGAAAGTTGGTAGGAATGATCGTCTCATGGTCCTGACAAAGTTTTGTTATTTTTCAGGTCAATCATAAATCCAATATGGCCGCCACAGCCGCCATTTGGATAAACTATTTCAAACTTAAAGTCAAGTATTGCTAGGCAGATTGAACTGAAAGTTTGTCGGAATGATCAGCTCATGGTCTTGACAAAGTGTTGTTATTTTTCGGGACAATCAGAAATCCAATATGGCCGCCACGGCCGCCATTTTTAAAAACTATTTCAAACTTAAAGTCAAGTTCTGCTAGGCCGATTGAACTGAAANCTCACTGAAAATCGGTCTAGGAATGATCAGCTCATGGTCCTGACAAAGTTAAGTTAACATTATACTTAACTATTTTTTACTCAAATTGGTACATATTTCAACAACAAAAATAAATACTGTAGGACTCAGGTGACCGTTAAGGCCCATGGGCCTCTTGTTAATTAAGTTATACATTTTCCATCACGACTGTAATATAATGAAGTAGGAACCTCATATAGGGACCTTAAAATAGAACAGCTTATTGATTCAACCAGTATTGCATTCTTTGGACATTTATGTTCAACTTATCCTCGCATGGCTTTAATAAACGAACTACTATCAATAAACACGTCCGCTGCCAATGTGTCTGTTTGGTTTCATTGTTGACATTTAAAGAACATCATTCCGATTAATCCTTACATTGCTTATTAAAATAAATTGCATATTTCCAATTAACATTTCCCATAACGGCTGAAGCGCATGAGTGTACTTAACACAATTATATTGAGTTCTATGCGTGGGAGAATGTATTGAAAATGTTGTGCTAAGCATGTGATTGAAACATCAGATTTTAATAATTACTTCCTGTTTGCTTCTATTTCTGACTTTGACAAAAATAGTAAAGAAATGCATTTGTCGAATCTACTGTCACTCGATACTCCGGCCGCTCAAATATAAAGGAGAGTGCGTTTCCACTTAGATATCGTTCATAAAACGTTTCGGTAAAACTAGTTGGAATAATTTTGTTAGCTGTTCCTATTCTCGAAAGGGTTCGTACCAATAGTTTATAGAGTAGAAAACACAATTCAACAGGAAACTACCGAATGCTTGTATACAGTAGTGCAGGTGTAGGGACTTTCTACGCTTCTCCGTTCATCTTATTACTTTAGTTGAATTGAAGATATGTAAACAGTTTTGATTGGATTCAATGTTTTTAAGATATCTCCAAACCCTGTGTATAACTCTTTATAGCCTGGTAAGCCTAACATGTTTTTTTCTGTATTTTATAATTTAACAAAATCTTAATCCCACGAAAACATTAAATTATACGTTCGTCTAATTGATTTTGTTTCTTTGTATACATTTGAATGGTTTCTCCCAAAGTGAGTATACAAACGAACAAAACGACCCGTTATAATTATGTGGATAGCTTGCAAATAGAAATTACTTTATAGTTGTTAGTCTATAACGTTATTGGAAATATTTGGTCATTAAAATAGATTTCTGTAACAACATAATTTTTGATACATGATGTTTTGAATTGTTTTTGTTAGTAAGTGGCTGCAAGCATTGTTTATATTACTGGTTTCTTAGAGATTCGTGTATAGCATTAAATTAAATTTATAATTTCTTTTTTAGATAATGCCCTAGTGATAATGTTGTTACTAGCCAGTCTGAACAGCTGCTGCAACCCGTGGATATATTTAGCCTTTAGTGGGAACGTTCTACAGAGTCTGGCGCCTTGTAAGTGCTCCAAGATGGATGTTTCAGAAACTAATGGCAACAAACTGTGTGTCTGTTCATGCGCAGATAAACAGAAGAAAAAACAGGGCCATAAACAGAAGTGGACATTTCGTAGTGCATATTCATGCGATTCAACACAATCTATCCGATTTACAAATTATAAGAAAGAGGAAAAACGTTTAAAACAAGGAGAAACTGTATGCAATACGAACGCAGATGACTATATTGAGTTAAATGGCATGCATCTAAACACGTAATCATCAAAAGGCTTTTCACTGTATGACTTCAATAATATTTTTTTTAATTGTTGTTAGGGACTTCAAAATTCAAATTACGAAACCAAGTATATGGACCTCAACGTTAATATCCAAGTGTTTACAGTGATGTAAAGAAATGAAAATCAGCTCACGCAAAATATCAATAAAATCAAATAGATTGGTATATGACAATGCTGTATGGTTATGTGTTAGCTGACGGTGGAAACAAATGTTGTATGGTTTGTGTGAAATTAGATTTATGTTGCTGATTCGTGCTATAGTTATCTTGGAATCCCTTAATCATCGAGTATCATCAGTTTAACTATCGGTATATGGAATAACTTACAATACATATTGGTCTACTTTGCTATACTTCTTCTAAACGAATAATGTTCTGAATATATCTGATATAGAAACGGTCAGGGGAGTTGATCTTGTTGAATCCTCTGGTGAACTATTAGTCCCCCACTTTGACAATTACAATCTGCTTGTGAACACATAGTGTAACAGTTCCCTACTTTGCAAAACGCTGTAACCAGAATTAATTCTTGCACGGTTAACATTGGATATTAGCTTGAAAGTATACATCACTTTATTATCCGAACGTCGTTTATTTGTAATGTCATAAAGTTACAGCCATTCCGGATTAATCGTATCCAAACTCCGAACGGTAATTTTTTGCAACATTTCTTTAAAGTTCGGGATGCTACTATGTTTGTGTACGTGACAAAAGCCGTTTCCCATCAGGTACACAGTTGACCTGACCCAATGTGTATCGTTTAAAACAAACTTACCAAGAAGTTAAACACATAGTGATTGGCCACATCACCTAACACCTTGAACACGAGGCGTAAATAGCTCTGATTGAAATGGAAATGTCCTGATGATGTGCTTGCTCCTCGTAATGTTTGTCTGAATTGTGTAATGAGTTCATGAATATAAAAAAAAAAAAACATACAATATACGTGTTTCTCATCTAATTTATTACGTGATCAGTCGGTAGATAAAGCCATGAAGCATCACAGACACAGAACCACCGAACATACGACTTGTCAGACATAGACTGCAAATACAGGTCACCTTGCAACGCAGGACTCGTAAACAGATACAATACCAATACTTAACCTGATGTAGGTAGAAGTGTATTTCCAAGGTATAGTCTGTTTAGGAATCCATTATAAAACAGAATTTCAACTCTCATATATCAAATTCTTATGACGAAGTCTAGATTACCACATAAAGGGTAGCACAGATCCTTTGTTTAATACAATAAACAAAATGTTTCTTGCTAAGATGTTCGGGAATATAGAAAGAATACCGCTGATTTGAAAATAAATGAGGATCAACCTTTTGATTGAAAATACATTCTGTTTCCAAAAGTGTGAATATTAAAACAAAGCCATCAATTATCAAGATTGGATGTTACCACTTCACGCTTTTGAATATCTCCTTTTTCAAGACACAATGAAACAGAACAGTTACATGTACATATACATCAATAAACAAATCACTTCTTTGACCCATATGATTTTATTATATGTATGTTACCAATTTATAGCATTTGAATATTCAAATTAAAACTTTGCATCCAGATTTAAGGATAACTTATTTGATAAGCTTTAGACAGACTATAACATGGTCAGTCAATTATTTGCGGATATCTTTGAACGTGTCAATTGAATTTGATATTGTTGAAAATTTCGGCAATAACCATGTTTGGCACATAGAGAGCGTCATGTCAAAATGGTTGTCAAAAACGTTTTGATTCTTTTTTTCAGGGATAACAGAACGGACAACAGTACGGTTACACATGTATCCAGGATTTATTTGACGCTCAAACATGTATTAGTGACAGACAATGATGGTTGAAAGACTTTGCCTTAATGTCCCGGTAATGCAGTAACACTGTAAAATATATTTCAAGTTCAGCAAAAAGTTCTTCTGTACAAAACATGATTATATAATAACAAAAGTTCACATGCAAAAATATATACCATCCATGACCACTCTTACTTTATATCTGTTTTACCAGCATTTAATCAGCTGTTTCAGGATAACTCAAATATAATCAATACCAATAACAATACTTATAAGAAAACAGCACTTCAATCGGCATCGTATAACCGACCATTCTGAATAAATAATAAGTCAGTGAGATAAATTAAGTTGAAAACTATGAATTTACACTAAAGTCAAATACTATCATCTAAATATTCCTAATACGTTAAGATCATCAGTTAAACATAATAAATCTTATTGATATAACTTAGTCCTCTAAGAAACAATTATGATCATGTTTTTGTTTACTACGCATGAGTATCACGTGACATACTTAAATGCGGTACGTGACGACTAACTGACCAATAACCTATTAGCAGGTCATTTCGTCAATAAACATATTTTTTTTATCAAAACTAGCACTGCGATCAGTGTCCATGGTAACCAAACCATAAACATAATTACAAATATATTTTGATTCACAAAATAACACTACGATTAGTGTCCATGGAAACCAGATTACAAATGGACTAATATAGCAATGGATTTTCGTTGATTCGCACATAGAACAAAGTGAGCTCTTGAGAAATTGACAGAAGATAGAAGCCAATTATCAAAGCAGTTTTGATTGGGTTTACTTCATATAACAAGCCTATATCAAATAATAACTGTAAATATTTAAGGACAGAACATAGCAATCCATTAGTAAACAAATTGTTACCAAGGGTACCAGAGCTTACTACACATTTCCATGGTTATAACGACGGGAAAAATAATGCGCTTAACAAGTAAAGTACTTCTTACTTTTTCCTTGAATTACAATAAAAGACGTTTAAACGAAATCATCGCCCTGTAACAAGTTTTCAAATCTAGCCTATAATATGACGCAATCTTCTGTCTATTTCTGACGTGTTCACTTTGTAGCATCATACAATTTTCTCAATTACAAGTTAACCATGTTCATAAAAGTGTCACACACATTGTTGTTTACATTAATATGAAGTCACATTGATTCTGTACACACTTCAGCATGTAATTGCTCTGCTGTATTTGTGCATTACATAAACGCCTACAAGCTTCATGATAATAAAAATCGTTTTACTTAAAATAATGGCGGATGACATTTATCGCTCATTATACTTGATCAATAACCGAAATATTAACGAAGCCATGTAAATAATTGGTTGCTGTTAAACTGATCAAGACACATTTCGTCATATATCCTCCTCAATAATTACGCAATCGGCTATGCATATGGATGGGTAGAATGTAAGTCTAAGGGAAGCTTGTGGAAACAAGCGATATCCCCACTTTGTATTTCGAGCTTCATATCAGACGAATAATAACAGGAGCTTGCCGTCACAGAAGAAAAAAAAAAAAAGATTACGACGGCCAGTAACACGTCTAAAGTTCATAACATCTCCATGGTTTGGATCATGGTTTAAATACATATGTTAATGGTTCAAATGACGGTTAATATCAACATGTCCATGGTTTAAATGACGGTTCATAACAACTTGTCCATGGTTAAAATGACGGTTAATATCAACATGTCCATGGTTAATATCAAGCTTTATCGGAAAATGGCCATATTTTATATCATGATTTATCGGAACACGTCCATGGTTTAAAGTTTATATAAATAAGTCAATGTTCTAATGACTGGTTATCACAACATGTCCATAATTTATTCTACGGTTTATATAAAAAATGCCGTAGTTTTTTCACGGTTAATCGGAACATGTCCATTGATAAAAGCACGGTTCAAGACATCATTTCATTGATTTTTATCACGGTTTATATAAGCAAAGCCATGTTAATATCACTGCTTGTATCAACATGTCTATTGCTTATATCATAGTTTAAACAAACATAGGCATGGTTTATATCACCGTTTATATAATCATGTCCATGGTTTATATCATGATCTATGTTAAGATGTCTATAATTCATAACAATCTACCAACGACTTATATACCAGTCACGGTTTTCAGAAAAATGTTAATTTTTTATTCAAGTTGTGGACTGCATTGATATCAATAGGTCACATGTCACGAGTTATGACAACTTGTCACGTTTCAAACAAACCTGTCACTTGTTTATAACATATCACCGATTATAATAAAATTCCATGGTTATTTACAACATGTTTTCATGGTTTGTAACCACATGTTTGTGGTTTAAAACAACGAATGCACGGTTTATAAACATCTTTAACTTGTATGAGAACTACAGGACCCCGCTGTATCAAGCTTCACTAGTCTATCGCACATCACTGTTTAATTTGAATGTGTGATATTTTTCAATATTATCAAACCTGAAAACAAAATATGCACGTATTTGGATTCTAAACGATCACTTCCGGTTAATGTACACAACAATTACGATATTTTTGCTGGCACATTTTAAATTTGTTATAAGATGTTTTTAAACTATTGAAGTTTGACACAACATAATCCAGTTGTTTTGGGGCTATCTGTTCAACAGGTAACAGCTGGCACAGCAATGTTTATTTATCATATCCCTATCACACACTCGTCGTCCGTTCTGAGAGATAAAGTCCTGACATTCCATCCCATTAATCCGAACAAAATTGTTATCCGTACATGTCGAGGCTGTCACGTGTGAATATGAGTTGGTTTCTATAGGCGATACGGTAGGTGCTGCAAACAGTAGAGAGTTAAGTTAAAATTAAATTAAATTAAAATGGTTGATTGTCAACAGTAAAACAGGAGAAAGGCGTATCAAAGTCCGTCCTAGCACACGTATTCATATCATAATAACGTTTCAAACCTTTATTGATAAACTGTATACCTTGTTTGGACGTTGATTTTTTTCTAAGAGGAAAACGCAAGTCAAATATATATGTGGATTTAAACAAAACTTATTTTGTGTTTGGTTGTCTTTCTTTGATGCAGATTTACACAACGTAAAGTCAGTGGATATAACCTGACTTTCTACGTAAAGTGTTAAATCGAATATTCTTAGATACCGTTATTTGCATATTACACGCTATACGCTTAGTGAAGTAAATACAAATTTACCTGGCGGATTTGTACAGCTCTTACAACAAAAGTTCATCACATTAGGGTCAAGGGTACATATATCCGTGCCGTATCGCTGTATAAATTGACTACACTGTAATCCATTTATAAGGATTTTCATATCTTTACACGATTCTTCCTTTGTGAAATCTGCAACAAAGAAGAAAACACTGCTGAAAAGCTTGAACAATGGAATGAGGTAAGACACAAGCTTCGTAACTGTTTTTAATGATGTAAATGTTTAAAGAGTAAATCAGTCCTAGTTGATCTATTTGCAAAAAAATGATATTTGATAATTCGCCTGTTTGCGACTACTCCCATGTTAGTACATTATGGAATTTTGTTCTTAACACGGTTTTCTTCATCATGTTTTACAATTATCTGATATAAATAACCCCATACGGCAATAATCAAGAAAGCTATAAACGATTCTGAGTTCTCACAACGGTAAAACTTTCTTGTAATTAGACGAAGGATGGAAACATATCGCTTGCTGGAAGGTGTTCTCTAATAAAGAAATATTTCATCACTTTTTAAAATAGGTGAAATGACAGATATAACATCACTTTGAGTGGGTAATATTGACACAGGATTGTTGCCTGTACCGGGACAATATACGGTACATACAAATTCAAATTATCAGTTGGCACGTTATAAATGTATGTAGCAATTACTTTTATTGCATGACTCGCAGCAGCGTCTATAGAAGCTGGGGTCCCTACATCTGAAGGGCGACGCTTCATCACTACACCTAGTCCTCGAAGGCGGGACGTCTGGAAACGGGCAGTCAGCTGTAAATGAGGACCAGATTTTCTCAGAATTATAACCATACTATAAAATAATATATATATATATTTAATCCACAACGGTGGTACGTTTGGAAACGGGCAGTCAGCTGTCAATGAGTATGATATCATATTAGAATTATAACCATACTATGAAATAATATTGATATCACCTATTGGTCCATATCGTCGAGTACGGAAACAAATAACATAATGACGATAACATATTACAGATACAGGGACGTGATCTTATGATATAATGTACAATACTTTAAGTACAAAAAAGCAAATATAGAGTGTAACTTTGCCTTACAACACACTTTATTTTGTTGATTCTGTAAAGCCAATGACTTCTTCATTACGTATCAATATCGGAATCATGAATATCGATGTCTATATGTTTCTTGGACTCGAAAAACGATTTGAAAATAGTTGCTTTTTCAATGGCACTTACCTGGAACTGACGGTGCTTTGTCATCCCAAACGCATTTCCCAAGTTTACACCACTGCAAAAGTCAACAAAAACGACGATGAAATATTTTGCTTTTAGTTGTTTGTGCAGTCCACACAATATACACGAAATATTAGGAATATATAATGCCTATAAAATCTAAAAACTAAATATTTGGTCCAGAGGTACAAATGGCAGTTGTATGTTGAAAACAAGAGTACGAATGTACTACACATTTCCGAAGTACAAAATCTGAATGAAGAATAGTTCTGAACAGACGACAAACATATTCTTAGAAGTAACAAAACAATAGGAAAGGCACCTATGAACCTAGAATGAATGTCTTTCCTGCTCATTTTACCTTTCTGCGCCACAGGTAACACACACACACACTCCCCCCNTGGTGGTTATACATATACTATAATGTATTTAATCGTGTTGGACACTGCAATCACATTGTTGGTGATTCAGACATGTTGCAATTTATTGTAAACGTAAGATATGTTTCGAGTGTCTATTGTTTAGTACTGTTGCAATAACAATGCAGGTGATCCAAAATTAACCTTTGAATGACCCCCATACCCGGCTGTATGTTAATGTTAAAATCTTAGTTACAGGAATACCTAGGCCGCAGGTCATGAACTGATAGGAGGTTTCACATTTAAGTTGATGCTGAGTTAATTCGTGAAGGTTTCATTTAGCCCATCGTATACAATTACTGATAAAAGGCTTGGTGAGTCAATACTTGATCAAAAGTCACTATTATTTAAGATATGAACCTAAACTAAACCACCCTTATACAAATGATAAAAGAGATCAATTGCCATAAATCTTATCTGGCCTTCATTTCTCGAAAGTTTAGCAAGGGTTGAGCACTGATGTGCAGAAAAGCAGGAATTCGAATTCCGATATCGGAAGCAAATTGCGGCGGATAGTTAAGCGGATTTTAAACCAAGAAGCTGCCGATAAAAGCTTTACTTGTCTACACCATGTCAACATAATATGTATCTATGTAAAATAAATAATATAAAAACGTTGTTTTACATTTACATTAGTGATGCCTTCCAGTAGTTCCCGCTGTTTCATAACTTTTAAGCATTCGCCATTACTGTCAGTGTTTTGAAATATGCATCAATAACAGTTGCAAAGCAATGCCTTTGTCCTTTTAAGCACTCTAGATTTGCATGTCTTCTTTATCATTCCTCGAACGGCATTAAGCGCTATGTCTAATAGCCTTAGGTGCCTCGATATGATTAGTACAGAACAAAGTTATGACACAATCGCAATATCAGATTTACGGCAAAATGTTATCAGAAATAATCGATTTGACAGAAAATAAGTGTATTTGAATGGGTAGGCTTTTAAGATGTTAGTAGAAGTGCTGTAAACATAAATTTCTCTGCAGAGAAGATTTGTTTCTCTGTGGCTTTTGATTGAGGTTATAGCATGGTAACATTTTGTTGTAATAGAGAATATGCCAAAAAATATCACAATCGGCATTCAAAAGGTACATTGTCTTCAATGTATAATAAAACATTGGGAACTCAAAACGATACAAAAAAAAACAACGGCGTTTGTTTTTATAGGGTTTAACGTCATATCAACAGATAATGTCATTTAAGGACGTGCTTCCATGTGTGTTATGTTTGCGAGCAGGTGTGTATGTGTGCTGAAGGCATGGTATGAGAAAACAACAGGAACTGAAGAGACATTATAACAACAATATCACTAGCACCGTCTTCGTTACAAAGATTATTGGCCATACTACAACAGGTTAGTAACCCAAATCAGCAGTAAGTACCAGATAAAGCAATACGGCGAGTGCGGAAAGGCTTAGATAAAACGAGTTAAAAATGGCAGTAACTTTAAACATATTTTATAATGACATACTAATGACTCGAACGATGTCGTTTATAGTAAAACTAAACACATATTAAGTCATCAACACATAAGAACAAAACCGGAATCGTAGCATGGGAAGAAAGAAAACGAGTGCCGCCGAGAAGACTTCAATACAACTGATACCATAATGACCCTGATACACTACCAGCATAACACAAAGAAAACAAGAGTAAGCTTCCTACTGGATATGGTACTCATTATTTATAATTAGGACACGCAATACCTTTTTATTTCCACAAGAAGACCCCATGGCCGCTCGTTGTTCGCTAGCTGTGATACAGATCTTCCGTTTGGGATCATAGCAGTACATCTTATAACACATCTCCTCTGTCGAGGAGGGCGGCTGTAAAACAAGCAATTTGTTAAGGACATGTACATGCATAATGATATAACAAAACAAGAAATACATGTAGCTTTGGTACGTCTTTGTTGAACAAATTGTGTTGAATATGTATGGTATGTAATCTTTAGTTGGAAACATGTCCATGGCCATATGGAATCGAGATTCGATGAACAAAAACCTTAATACTACAAAATTTAAAATGACAGTATGTACTTCATATTTTGCTGTACAATTTGATTTTCTAAACGTCTGCGAACTGCAAGTACTAGGTTCATAAGTCAAAATATGAATCCATATTGAAATGCCTTTATTGACAAATTATTCAAAAAATTAAATATGATATCAAGAATCGGTAAACAATTTAGTGTTTTTGAAATTCCTTTCGATTTTACAGGATTGGTATTTGAATATGTATGTCAGGCTTCACTTTTAGAATCACTTTGATTTGTTTACCCATAAATATACCACGTGACCTGTGAGTTACTTAATCCAGTATCTGTATTACGTGACGCGTGGCTTACTTACACACATGAAGGATGAATTGCCATATACATCTCTACACTGATTATGTACATCTTCTATTTGGCCTGGAGGGATCATCAGATAAGGTTTCACAACTATCGTAGCCAATGACGGCCCTGTGTCCTCCGCCAAACAGTTCCGGTTCCTGAAACAGCAGTATAAGTTTAAATAATCAGCGCTTATTCATTTATATGTTTCAATGATATTGCTCAGTTTGCGTCTTGTTTATCTTTTTCATTTTTTAGCAAAGAAATGCTTCGTTGCATTTCCTTTAAGCATTGCATATGAGAAATGTTACCTTTCGTGTAATGGAGATAAGAATAAATTTAGTTCTTCAACATACGTAATAATCAATGAATATCTACAATGGTGTTTAATTTAATATAATTTTTCAGTTTCCAACTTTATATTTAAATATTATAAGCTTAATATGAAAATTCTCAATGACGTGTTGACTAAAAAACTGAAATTGTTTTTATATTATTGCATTTATATTGAAAGTGTTATAGCTTCCAGTATTTATATAAATTAACACCGAAAATCACAATTGTAGAACATTTATATTACCTGTTTGAAAGTTTTTTCATTTGTTTTTCAATCTGTCTGATGGAACAATCTGAAAATTTGAAACTATATTCTTTTGTTTTGCTGTTTATAATAGCGGATGATGGCGCCATGATGTAGTTCAATTCCTTTGGGCAAAGTGACGTCAGAGAAGAAGAATCTCCGTCATGGTATATTACACCCAAACTGAAAAAAGAATTGGGATAAAATTAGAAAAAAAGTGGATGTACCATAGCGCTGACATTGTTTTAGTATTTGAGCGCTAAGCTTTCTTTCACACATTCTAGCCTACTAATTACCATAGTTTATCATTGGTGACGTACGTGTACTTTACATGACTTAACAGGAGACACAATAATAGGTGCCACATGATGGTTATCAATTGCATATTTGGCAACTCTTTTTCTTATTGATTCTACTACATCTTTGTTAACTATTTGTATAGAGTATAAAAATCTCCAATAACAACCGTTTTATCGCTCCTTTACATTTGTAATCAGTACGGATCTGATAAATTTGATTACTGGCGCCATCGCCTGTCCTGAACAAGGAATATAACTAAAACATGTAATGGAATTCTAGCAAAAAATAAACTATTCCAATTTCACAAATGCAATCTAGTTTTAAATTAACATTCAATCACAGAAGTCTGGAAATAGACCAAATCACTTCAATTTACTCAAAGGGAGTATATATCACAAGGAACACCATCAAGATAATTCTATTTATTTGTTAATTAGTACTAAACTTAAGCGAAATTTAGCCATGAAAGCACAATGCATACCGAACAAAATATTTCATCTGAAACCAAAGTCCTGGAGAAGTAAGTCGTTTAGATATTAAATAACTATATTCTGTCGTCTGTTATTTAAAAGGTTGTTTGCATAGAAATGTACAAAAAAGTGTTTTCCTAGGCATCAATTTTTGTTTTGCATCACTTCTGTGCCTGATTCTTCTTTAATTACACCAGATTAGTCAAAGTTTGGTTGATTAAAGAGAAAACGCAATAATAAATTTGAATTTATGGATTGGAAAACACACATTCAAATTAAATGAACTAGAATTTTGTAAATTGTTATTCAATATTCATAAATAATGTATAGGGGATCATTCTTGTGTTGTCTTTTGTTTTGCAGTGATATATTTCATTACAAGGACCTTTGCAGTATAATAACATCATCGTTAGCAAGCAACATGTTTAATGAACGTCATATCATGGAGAGGGGCGGACAGTTATTGTCAAATTATAGATAATATAACAAACATCTTGTACTCTTATGAGCGCGACTTTTATAACAAATGACTGCATGCTTTGGTAACGACCTTCTGCTTTAAACCTATTCATCTCGAATTATAAGGCATATGCCCTGCACTCAAGATACATCAACGATAAAACTGTGACTTGTGACATCTCTAAACATTAGCACATAATGTAAAGAGAAAACAACACAACAGTTTTAACACTCGAGGAACGTCAAAATCAAATCGAGGCGACACAAAAACATACGGGAAAACATCGTTAAATACCAAACTACTCTGTCTGTATGGCTAGAGACTTCTTCCTCTCCTCTCAGCAAAGCGTTCTTAAATGACATTTTTTATTGATAGAACGTAAAACCATATAAAACAAATCTCTAAACAAATGTTATATCCCTACTCATTTAGCTTACTTATGCCCGAGCTCGTGCGCTGCAATGCCGGCGGAGTTATAGGAGCCATGATCCACTATGACAGAGGTACTCATAGGCGTACAGATACCACTGAGGTAGCTGGTACCTGGAGGGAAGAAAACAGTTATATATAATTTAGAGACTGGACAGTTATATATCAAAATACGTTAATAATGTATTTGCAAATCCGGCAGTTAATTTCTAGTTCTGAAGGAAATAGATATACATTCAAATTCTCGAGTATCTATCGAGGTTTTAAGCAAGTCTGTTTAAGGTCAAAGAGTAAGTTTGAAGCATTGTGCTGTATCCTACATTTTGCTGCAATATTATTTCTTAATTAAAAACAAACACTAAACAAAGTCAAATATTTCGGCGTAAAGAAGTTATTATTAATAACTAAAACATGATATCTGTTTCTTTTACCCAACTTACAAAAAAAATATAAACATATATGAAGACTTAATTATATCTCACCAAGTATGTGACCTCGCCCATTTGTTGCATCATGCCTGCGGGGGAAAAACACAACCTTATAAGTGCTAATAAAGAAACCATCAATGCAATAAATGGGAAGCTTCCCATACAACTGTCTTTTATATTCATCCTCTCTCTTACTTTATCATTTGAATGTGTGTGTAATTCTACTTGGTAAGTACAAATCAATATTAATAAAAGAAAATTGGAAATTATAATAAATTGAATTTCCGAAATATCCAAAAACGATAATAAAATACAGTAACAAATGAGTTGATGTATATATAGTGTTCCTCGTAATTGAGCGTAATTACTTACGTCTTTGTGAATGTCATGGCATATGTAACTTACTACATCTGTGAGAAGCATTGCGCATGCCTGATGTCTATCTCTATGAGTAAAACGACATACATTAAAACGTCCTTTGTGAGTGAAACTGCCTGGTGTACTACTTACTCTGTGAATAACATAGCATGATCATGGTGGGGTAGGTTCGGCTTTCCTTTCAGAAAGTTGGTCAATCCAAGAAGTGTAGCACTCCCGTCGACCTTTGACCTGATATCCCCTCCCTGACGGAAGGTCAGTACAAAAGGCAGGTCTGTTCTGTTCTGAAATTAGTCATATATAGTTATATATTAAATATATAACTGCAATTGTTTAATCCAATTAAGCATTGTCCAAGTATTATGTAAAAAGGAGCATAAGCATGAAGAGAGACAAAATGTCCGCACAATTACTTTCAATTAAGTAATTTTAGTTCATGCAAGTGTAGTTTTTGTACTCTAAATGTTGTTATCACCTAACATACTAAACACCAGTTATTTGCTGTCTGCGATGAACGACTAAAGCACCGTCTAAGACTAGACAAAACTTTAACCATTTGGAAAATAATGTAGCAGCGAGTACTCACTTTAGCAACAAAAAATCCTGCCAATCTTATAGACACTCGGAAGTCTGTATTATTTATTGAGGAATATCGAAGATCCATCTGTAATAGGGAAAAAAATCAGTAATCGTAATGTTTGTTAAGACAAAGGGAGATAACTTCATTAGAATAACGTTTATTCCTTTATTTATAGTTACATTTTTTTTCAGTAAAGATACGAAAATAGTTATGCGATTGACATGGATATACATGCTGTAACAAACCTTAGGTCGTGTCGAACGACGGGGAGACACGAACTTTAGTATTCAATGTTACTATAAAATTCAGGCAAGTTGCAGTTTCACAAATCGTTTAAAAATCAACATAAAACAATTGAATTGCCATGTTTAATAAAGTAACTTATCGGATACTTACGCCATTAACTATATGAGCGAAGTAGTAGCGGAGTTGAGTCAAAGCCTCGCCGTCCTGTCCATTTGCCTTGTCTAAAAATCTACAATCAAACACATGTGACCATTGGACATTTGAACCACGAGAAAGTCTTAATTTGCAAAAGTGTTAAGACTTATATTTTGATTTACAATAAACAATACTGAATGTCGTATGCTTACGCTTTTTATTTCGGTTTAGAAAAATGAATGTTTTATTTCTACGTATACCGTTGACGTAGTTATCATTGTATCAGTGGTATAATTCTTATAGCACTAGCGGTATGTTTTACACAACCCCTGTTAAAGCAAGCAGATCGACACTGAACAATGTTCTCGTTAAGATTATCTATGTTGCTATTATTATCTGTGTCGTGTTATATTGTGCTGCTAAGGTATTTATCTGTATCATAACAAAAGGGTGATTTACATTACTTCAATGGAAATTGTAACTGTTTATTGCATTAGTGCGAAATTATACCTAAAGGAACATACATATATTGGCCTGGTTACATCGAAAAATTCGTGAAGGAATTATTTTTCACACATGAATATTTCTTCCCTGCACTTTTTTTCATCAGTAGATAAGTGAATTTAACTGAAATTGTCATCCGCACAAAGGGAGGCAACCCTGACACATCTCTTTCAAATCCAGTTACACAAACAAGTTGTTTCTGCATCAGGATCAGGAAGACTAGCAAATAAAGTGTCGAAATAATGCAATAAGTGGTATAAAGCTTTAAGACCTTTTTAATTAGTGATACAGTAAATAGTAATGTAAGTTTTGTTAAGCGTATGAAAGTTTGCGACATATTTTCTGTAAGAATAAGACCGGTTTAGTTGTATACATACTTTTTGTAGAGACTGTAGTCGATCATGATAAGGACTTCTACGATGTAATCGCTGTTCTCCTCCTTTAAGTCATTATTGTACTCATTGATACGATTAGAGGATTCGACAATGTTAACCATTCGCCTTCCTAAGATGCTCACCGTTCGGCCACCTTTAATAATAATAAAAATATTAAATACTTACGATATAACGAAATGTAGGGAGAGCTCATTGTAGGGAAAATGTACAACAAACAATAAGATAATACCGTTATGTCAACAAAAACCATAGTTTTAACTCAACATCGATAAAACTACGACAAATATTAAGAAAGGCACATTTTAAACGGAGATCATTGAAACAGTACAAGGATATTAAGACCACGTGTTTCAGAAGAGTAGGCGTCTTTTGCTTCAATATAAAATGAAGTTTCAGATTACTGGGGAGTCATTTGATTAGTTACATGGCCATTTATCTATTTTGTTGATTTATATGTACATGAGTCCATAATCTAAATACAATGGCGATACACTATGCACCACGAAGTTCCAGAAATATTATTTAAGTCCGATGGGAATAGAAAAGACAGGAGTACATGATGATATACACTTTGAGCTGACTAAAACTTCCACAGAAACCCAACGGAAACTGAACCGAGATTCCAATAATACAACAGAAATATACATGAATCGCCTAACGCCATAGATACCAGAGAAAAAATAAACTTAGGATACAATCAAACAGCACAGAATACACAATAAGCCAACATGAATGCCAGAAAGAATCAATCAGGAACTGAAAAGATAATAATTGAAGCAACATGAATATACTATGAACCTCCGAAGTTGCCAAAAAATACAGTAAAAGGAGCTGAGGCGACATAACAACAACACAAATCACACAATGAACTGACTATAATACCAGAGGCGAACCAAGTACTCATTCTTTGTATCAGTCACAATGTGTCCTGTCAAATCCAGAAACGTATGTAGGCCACAAACGAACTTAGGCATAAACATGTCTTTAATCATCGTAGACACTGTGATAATATAAGGGGAAATTAGGTCATGGTGACGACCGCAGCAATACTTAAACGTAGCTTGGCAGGTAGAAGGTCGTAACACGATAATGTATTAGACAACAAAATTAATTATGAAAATACTGATACTTAGAACACGCAATGGAAGAAGTCCACTGGCATATAGATCAAAAAAGAAGGAAAGGCTAAAAAGACACTGCTAAGGAAGAGCAATTTTAATTGTTAGTTAGTGGAAATCTGGATTAAAAGAGATCTGAAAAATTCTGATAGAAGTATCATCTGTTGTATTTATTCGGAGAAAATCCGTTGTCAACAGTTTCAGTGCTGCGAATTATCGTCAAGCACCTTATTCTGTGGTAATCATACCACTTGCAGGTACTATAAAACGTTAGATGATCACAACACACAAACAAGTGTAGTCGCGAAACAAGGTTTGAGCATTTTAGATAGAGTCATATTTGCCATAGCGTCAACACCAAAGTACACAAGATGAACTTGGTGAATTAAAAGACTCGAGTTGACTTTAAATACTAAAGTGCAGTTTTATATCTATGTGTCGATCTGGTCACCTTAGGATCATATTACAAAAATAAAATAGCAACGACACGACCGATGTCAGACAAAATATCACGGAATAATGTTACATGTAACAGACCCTATACGGACGTTAAATTTAAAAAGCAGGACATCAAATAGGAGAGCTCATGAGGAAGTCCACTGCGATGAATAATTACGTGATAGGCCAGTCACTATTTACTTTAACAGCGAAGTGTCACACACATGTTGGTTCCCTAACCCTAACCCTAACCCTAACCTTTACAACCTCATCATCCGGAGTGGTAATATATTTGATTGAAATATGTTTGTTTACAAAGAAACTAATGCATATAATCACTACAAAGACATGGCTATCTGGCTGAGTGCTAAGGGCATCATAAGGTTTGGTTTTCCTGGTAAAGTAATAAGTATGTGCCCTCCTCATAGACCATGGTTGTTATGTGTGGTCAGTCTATCCACGCCTTAGAGATGGATTGATAGGAGCAGTATCACACGTGAACATGTCTTTGATAAGAAAAATAAAGAAACTATATGTAACTGTCTGTTAATGTATCTTATTCTTGTGAAAAATACATACGAAATAAAGTGTACTTTTAAAGGTAAAATAGATATTTCAGGTGTTATTTAGTTAACGCTTTAAGACATGCGTTGGTCTGCATGCACCTGCCGATTAGCTGTGGGGAACATGTTTGTTTAATTATGGCAAATCATGTCCATAAACTGTGTCCACATGCGTTCTTACTATACATGTTTATATTTTCTTTGGCCTGAAGGTTGCCTAATCCGTATGTATCTGTTGGTGACTGTACTTTAAATGGCAACTCCCTGCATAAATGACCGCTGGTCAGTTTACTTATGTGAATATGTGAGGGATATACGTATTTGTATGATTGAAAAAACAGAGCTTGGCCAATAGAAAACGTGTAAAAGTTAAAACTACAAACTCTAGTGTCAACACAAAACGATACTTTGAAAATACAAACAGAACGCCAAGAGGTATCAAAGTAGCATACATATGTTGTTGTATTTAAATACTTACTACTGTTAGAGTATGATTAGGTACCCAAATACACTCAAATCAAATCAGATCCCAATAAACAGGAATCAAGTTGACATCGAAATATTTTGACCCGCAGACATTATGGCGGAACTATGAAGGATTGTTTGATCCGAATCAGCATAACACAATCATCGTAGGTCTCTGATTTACATTAACACCTTGAAACATTATTCTGTATTGTAAATAGAATAAAAAGTGAAAATTCCCAAATTTCCCTACTACGGACTCATTGCTCCAGGATTTAATTGAAATGCTCTAAATTATCACCAGAAATACGTTATTAGGAAATGGCCCCTATACAATTTCTTTTGATTCAAAACAAAAATGCAAAATATGTTATCATTAATAATATCAAACGGCTATGTTAGATAGAAAGGCCGCTATATCAAATGTGGTATATTATTATTATCATTATTTCGTCCGTTAAGGACTGAAATGACAAAAAACATTTATTTGTTAATGTTGATAAGTTATTGGTACGCAAAACAGTGTCTGGGTAACAATAACAGATAAAAGTACGCCAGTCGACTAGCCGTACGAACGATGTGTCACCGATAACAATTTCTGTGTTAACACATGCATTTTAACATTAATCTTGACCTACAATATGTAGTAGACAAAAAATTATAACTGCAAAAAAAACAATTTTTTGTTTCATTTCAATTGAAAATTGGAGTGACATGTATGCTTAGTGACCTATCCGTCATGAAAGTGTTCCGGTAGTGACGTTAATACTCGCGATAACACGGTATGGTGCCAGAATAGACAGCATGCATGATTTATATTAGCTCAGTGACAGGAGGTGAGAACCGGACGCGGAGGAGTAAGTAAAACCATCTCCATAAAAACTACTGGACAGAACCACAAGATAAGAGGTGTTTAGCCTTGTCACTGTTTCCTGACATTGCCAGATGAAAGTTAATATGATATTCTTGTTTCGGGATTTTTGTTTTAATATTTGAAGAAATTAACGTTAATGGAAAGTTATTCTGATATGTATACTATTATTTAGGTTAACGAATTATGTGCCAATAGAAGCACCTTTTTTCTAGATTGTTTTAGCTTTTATGATGTGATTATTGCATATATTTTTGCATATGTGAAAAGAAATTAACCTATGTGTGTTGTGTTAGTGTTTGCTTATACACTGTTTAACATATCCGTATGTATTATATCCACTCTATCTGTACAAACTATACAAGCAATCCTACATAAAATATGATTCATCGTCGAATACATGCATTCAAATACATGTATGCTACTCGCACTCAAATAAATGTCCAACATATTCACTCGATCATAAAATGACACTACAGACAACAAACAAACCTCAATATTCTTAGATTTTCACATGTGAAGAAACACAGGTCAGCATATCTTTATTTCCTCAGAACTAATGAACGGACAACAGTTAGTGCAAGTGACATGAAAAATGAAAAGAAAATTGGTGCAAACGTATATTGAAATTCAATTGATATAATTATAATTCCATGATCATAGTTTGAAAAAGGATTAGACCAGTTAATATACAATTAGCTGTCATTTACTGGAAAGTTATAGTGATTGCCTTAGCGGAAAATATAAGGCAATACTTAATCAATAAAGTGAGCTATTTAACATCGTCATTAAAGGCATCCCCACAAATGGCAGCGATTGGAGCACCAAGCAGAGCAGACACCTGGTATTCCTGGTCGAAAGACACAGAAACATTCACGGGGTATTTCCTTTTTACAAAATTCGTAGAATGAGTATCTCGCCAATCTGCTAACTCGTAGCAGTCTAACACACAATGGTCGACTGCGTCTTTGAATGTACAATCAGATGGAGCAATCTACATTTCGTAAACAGTTTTGTAAGTTCGAATAAAAGAAAGATGACACTACAAAAAGGACCAGATCATTGAAGGTTTCATTTCAGGATGAAGACTTATAAATCTTGAAAAATCAGACGAACGATCTAAAAGAGTGTTCAAGTCATCTCTAACGTTGTAATACGCTAGTCTGTGTCTACAATTACGGGTAACGTATGAACTTTATTTATTTTTAGCAACAATTATGAAACAACTTATAACATCTCATATAAACAACTCTTTTTGGCCCAGGTGGTAGCGCGCAGGGAGTCTTAAAATGGGAGGAAACCGGAGTACCCAGAGAAAACCCACGCGGTCGGGCAAGCGACCCCATGTATGTTTACGTCCGATAGAGTTATCAAACTCATGTGCCTTGGTGAAAAGTGAGTGTGCTATCAACTACGTCACCAACGGGCATGCTTGCGACCGAAGTTAGTTTTCGCAGATAAGTTTGATTATAATTAAGGTCGATCCTAGTATGTGTATTTCAGTGTGTTTTTCAATAGTAGAGGTTTACACCATCAGCAAAAGTAGATGTTTACATCATCATCAAAAGTAGATTTATGTAAACAACATCATCATCAAAAGTAGATGTTTTCATCATCATCAAAAGCAGATTTGATACTACATCAAGAACGAATATATATTTCTTATTTGTAGCGTAGA